TCAAAAAAAAAAACCCTAAATCCGAAGTTCCCTAGAGCCTCTAGAGTAAGCCTAGACCCTAAATTCCTGAACCCCAAGCCTAAACCACAACTTAGTGGCTGAGTGGGTAACCTAAGATTAAAAGGGGGCTAGGGTACTCAGCGCCTAAGACAGACCTGAAGATGTGGAGGAAATGGAGGAGTGGCTCTCCAGCGATGATTTCGACAGCCGGGGTCTTACACTCCACGACGTCAGGTGACTGTGATGGCTTGGTCCAGCTGTGGGATTCCAAGATGAGGAGTTCGAAGGAGGAAAAGCTGTATTTTTCACGATAGGAGACAGCCGAGGTGCCTGGCGTGAGTGCTATGCCGCAGCCCCGGTGCAGGGGCAGGTCCGGAAACTCCAGGAGCTTCGTAGCTGCGGGGGTAGTTGCTTGGGGCGTAGGACAATACCATACGGCGCATTTTACGGGCTGTCCTCAACTCCGTAGCGAACGGGCTGCATTGCAGCCGCAGAGGCCTTTTGCTGTGACATTCCACGCTTTGAAGCTTGGGGCCCTGCAGAATTGGAGCGAGCTGACTTCACAGCGACGGAAGTATTGGAATCGGCTTGGGGATGTACAGGTGTGCTTATCTTAGGGTCTAGGGTGCGAGGGATAGGGGATCCGGGTTACATGTATGATTCTGCCTGATCATGTATTATGACTTGCACAAATGTTGCTTTTGTACAAGTAGGTGTATGTACGTGTATATATACAAAAAGGTAGATGTATGCGTATATATATATATGTATGATGTGTGAGTATATGTACGGGGTCATGAAGACTGGCTGGGATTTCCCAGGTCTAGGCCCAGGGCGCCAGACATCGCCGGGCTTGATTTTCTGGGCACACCGAGGAACGCGCGTGCAGAGGCTCCACGGGCAGATCAGATCGGAACATCTCTGAGGCAAAGAATTAGGGTTGTGGGACGGTTCGGCGTTCTTGCGCGAGACCCCCAAAATTCGTATTTGACACGTTCCCCTTGGGTCGTTCCTTTCCTCAAACCTTTGGCTTCCTGGCTTTGAGCTTCTGAGACTCATTTGCCTTGTGTTCTTCGTGCCGGACTTGAATCACTGAAGCATATTCAGGGGTCTCTATTGTAATTAAAGGCTCTCGTTAAGGTGATCAAATGCAATTCTCGCACACTCTTGTTCCCTTCTGTATACATAACGAGAGCTGTCGTACTCAAACCTTTCGCGCAAAAGCAGAGTGCGCCCAGAAAGCTGTGTGAAGTCGTTTTGGGCCCAGGTTGAAGACAATATGCAGGTTCACCAAGGATACCCTAACTAACATGCTTCAGGGTCTTGGGTGTCTTTGATTGAAGGCAAGGCGGCTCAATTAGGGTCTTTTAAACCCGTAAAGAAACCTACATTGTCAGGGATCCTCGTCATAAAACATGCGTTCTTTGCGGGCGACTAGGGATGATTTCCTGGTATGTCGTATCCAGTTATACATCGAACAAATTCAGAAGGTAGTTGTTGTTGTTGTTGTTGTTNNGCGTCTGGGTCCCAATGAGTCTCCATTCGCCCAGTCGGTGCTTTACCAGACGGCGGCCGCTGTGCATAACCACATGCCTCATGGGCCGCCTGCATCTCAGCATCTTGCGATGATGATACTGATAGCAATGATGGAGGTGATGATGATGATGATGATGATGACGATGACGATGATGACGATGATGACGATGATGACGATGATGACGATGATGATGGTGATGGTGATGATGGTGATGGCGACGAAGTGGCTGTGATGCTGGTGGTGCTTGTTGCATCACCGGTAGTTTTCCTTTATGGGAGGCTTTTCAGCTCGGATGCAAAATCCACACAACAACCTGTAAACTGCTCCTGGCAACGCTCGTTCGAAAGTCCATGTTACAGGGCTTGACATGTGTTTTTTGTAAGGGCGCAGACAGTGACATCTTCCAGTAGACAGTAGTGCCCTGCCCGAACTTTTTGTCCTGGATCATGATTATTGTCGTGTAAACTCGCACAGCTCTTGTGATGTCAGTTTCAGGGTACTTGGAGGTTCATGGGTAGCTATAAGTGGGGTTATAAGTAGGGTAACTATAGTTATAAGCCATATTAGGGGACTTATAACCCCACTTATAACCACCCACGAACCTCCAAGTAAGGGGTTGTGGAGTGTAGAGCGTCGAGTTTAGGGACACTCTGTACAAGCAGGGGGGTAATCATGACTGAGTAGCGGCTGAAGAACTCAGCCACAACAATACCCTAAACACCTTACCTTTCAAGTCTACTCTGTTCTGTTTATTATGGCCCCCAAACTTATCGAAAGCCCTTATGAGACCCCGAAAGGAGCCGTTAAATGGAACCCTAGTCTAGTTGTTAAGGCCCCTTGATTCTGTAGGCTGGAAAGAATGCTGCCTGTACCGGACGCCGAGCCAGAGACTCAGGTCAAGAGCAAAACGATGTATATTTTGTGTTTGTTTTTTTTGTTTGTGGTGGGCGCCTTTCTTGTTGTTTGTGATTGTGTGTTTTCTGTGTTATTGTGATCGATTGTTGGTGTTTGTTATATTTGTCTGGTTTGTTTGTTCGTGCGTGTGTGTGTGTATTTGTCTGTGTTGTTGTGTTTGTTTTTTGTTGATGTGGTGTTATGTGTGTTGCTGTTGTTTCCAATGTACAACTGTGTCTGGTGCTTCGAAGAGTTTTCAGTTGGATTGATATATCTGGCGTTTCAGGTTTAGTTGTTTCTTTTTGTAGGGCGTAGGGCCATAGGGATTCATGACGCTGACTACAGTAAGTTTTTGTTGTTTGGTGGGTGCACTTGTTAGGAACGCAAGGGCTTCGTTTTCAGGGCCTTCATATAATACGGCACACGCTGCCTGGGGGATCTATATCAAGGTCGCTTCTTTTCCGAAACCTCTGTAGCACGTCGGAGGTATAGCTTGGTAGTGTGGTGACCTGTAGTGAGATGTATGGTATAATAGCTTCGAGCAATGGACAGGGTTTTGCACGCTTGAAGGTTGAGGGTATAATATAGGGGCCTACATAATTACCAATACTATTTTTGGGGATCCTTGTTATAAGTATAGTATAAAGGGCCGCAAAGCCCTATTTTAACTACGAAGGCACCTATATTGAAATTCTATGGCGGCTCGCCTAAACCCTAAACCCTATGCATGCCCTAAACCCTAAACCCCGGCCACTACACTGCAAAAAAGAAAAAAGCCGCGAACCCTACTTGGTTGTTCATGGGTAGTTATAACTGGGGTTGCAAGTCCCCTAACATGGGTTATAACTATAGTAATCCTACTTATAACCCCACTTATCACTACCCATGAACCTCCAAGTATACGCTAAGCCCTAAGTCCTAAACCGTTGGGGGGTGCACCTCCCTCCAAGGCCTTCCAAGTCGCGGGGCCTGCAAATTTCATGCACTAAACTAACTCCTTTACGGGATCTATAAGGGTTCCTTTCAGGGATCTATAAGGGATCCATTAAGGGATCTATAAGGGTTCCTTCAAGGGATCTATAAGGGCTCCTTGAAGGGATTGTTCAGGGATCAATGTACCTATAAACTCCATTGTAGTTCCTTTTTTGGTTTAACCATTCTTATGTTTCGGATCCCATACGGTAACCCCAACAAGTAGCTACAATGGCCTAAACCCCAAACCCCAAACCCCTAAACCCCTAAACCCTAGAGACTTGATGCGCTGAACCCAAGGATCCCTCACAAAAGCCGCAGATCCTAAGAGCAAGCCCCAAATCCCCAAACTCCCTTTCTAGCTGCTAACCTCCGCACCTGCAGCATTTCAGGTTCTGGGATCAGTGCAGGGTTTAGGGCTTAGGGCCACCATTGCGGAATCCTCCAATCCTCCGAGTTCCCCATAAAATTTTCAATCCTGATCACTGCAGGGTTTAGGGTTTGTTAAACAGCGCCGAGCCAAAATCCTACGGCTTCAGGAGCCCCTAAAGCAGACTTTGAAGCTGTAAGCTCCCGAAAAGTCGCGCGGCGAAGGAAGAAAGCCATACTCATCCCGAAATCCAGGGACTCACCCGACTCAGGACTCACGCGCCCACCCTTCGCCCAAAATGTTTTTAGGGTTTAGGGTTTAGGGTTTGGGGTTTGGGGTTTAAACCCTAAACCCTAAACCCTAAAATGCGGGACACCTTAGGCCCTCCGTCTGACAGAGCAGCAGCAGCTGCCCTTGCAATGCCTGAAACCTGAATGCTTCATAGCCAAACCTGAACACATCATGATATTTTAAATGGTTCAGGTTTAGAGTTTAGGGTTTAGGGCTTATATGAGCGTTGTTCTTTTTGGTGGGCTCTTTTGACAAGACTAAGAGGGCGATTAGCGAAAACTCGGTCGCTTAAAAAGTGCGCACCCTTTCGATCGCGCGCAAGGGCGAATGCAAGCTATGCTCAAGGCTTGTTGTTAAGGTTGATTCAAGAGTGATTCTGAGCAACGTTGTAGGTAGATTAGCCTTGAAGCGCCAGTGTTTTACCCGCAGTCGAAGCTTGGACTCGAAGCCACCAAGGATCAACACGCCACAGTCTTCAAAAACCTCGCGCGCGCGCGCAAGCACGCCCAAGGAACGCGCAGGGCGAAGCGCAAGGGATCCTAATTGGCATGCGTGGGCCAAGGATATAGAACAACCCTCATATATTGTTTAAGCACCAACCAGACAGTCGACCTTCAATCCCTCGAAAAGCCAGTTGTAATAATTGCAGCCATGCGCGCAATGACGACAATCTTAGTTATGCAGTATCAGTAGTAACAATAATGACAACAGTAGCAAAAGATGTTATTAGCTATATTGGTCGGAAGAAAGTGCAAACAGACTACCAAGAATAAACCCTAAACCCTAAACCCTAAACAACTGCCGAAGGTTTATCCAGACTGCTCTGGCGAGCATCGGCTTGGAAGATCCGCGTCGGGCTGGCCTCAAGGAGAACAGCCCCAGCTGGTGTTGTTTTACATTGGTTTATACGGCTTTAATAAAGGTGCTTAGGGTTTACCGTTTAGGGTTTATGGATTATACGGCTTCAAAAGGCGTTAGAGTGTCTTTTTTCGGGATTTATAGAACCACCCACAACTGGTGTTACAGGTCATTTGGTCAGGGGTGTTGAGGGGCTTGCTAGGGTTTGACAGCTGTTAAAGCATTGTAGGAAACATGGGCGGTATGTTTGTTTTTGTGTTGTCTTTTGTTTTTTCGTAGTTTGGGCAGGGGAACAAAAGGCTATATGTGTATGTATGTAGGTATGTATGCATGCATGTATGTATGACCTTGTTTTTGTTGCTCTTGTTTTATTAACAATGCTTGAGAACAGGCGTTTTCCAATATTAACAAGGGGATTTCACTCATGGTAGCCTTTGAAACAGACGGCTGCTTCCAAGCATAGATTCAGTCATTAAGCTTGACAGGCTGTTCGCTGCCACTTTTCTTGCAGAGCCCCTTTGAAAATATGCAAGCTGTATAAAGTCAAGGCCCATACCGTAGACTTTGACAACAGAATGTACGGTGGAAAACTCCCAGAGAGGCACAGTGCACAGCGTGGAACTCGCTGTAGCCTAACATGTACAGCATGCAGATAAGATGCTCTCCATCGTCACTACTAAGTTATGCAGTCCGAAACCCTAAACCCTAAAGCCTAAAAAAAACCTAGATCCTAAAAACTAAACCCTAAACCCTAAACTCTAAACCATCCGAAACACAACTGGAAGCCGGGGAGCCAGAAGCTCATTTCCAAAGCCGAACAAGACCGACATTTGGCAAACAAATCGCCGGCCGACCCCGAGATCTTGTTTGTTTGAGTTTGAAACCCACTGACGTCTTCGAACCAGCACCCGGCTAGAAATACATTAAAGTGGCCCAAAGCCCTGAAGCCTATTCAAATTATTAAGGCCGACACAAGATGTGGACAGATCGCAGACTGTGGGGAGTGGGTGCCCTCTTGACATTCCCCTGATCAAGTGTTCCGCGTGACGATCAACGCCCACTTCCTCGTACCTGACCCGGGGCTCGCTTACCGATCGCAACGACCCCAAATTCTCAGGACTTGGAGCATTTCGAGGCGGCTTTGGTCGTCGCCCACGCCCCAGCTCATATGTACTAGATCACAGACTCTATATATATATATATACGATATTGCAAAAATCTGTTATGCCAAAGCTATAGAAAGTATATGCATTGCCTTGTTGATCATGCAGTGAACCGTTTTGGCCATTTCGGCGACCGGGTCATGGAAGCGGCTCCGATGTCCCGGCCTCCGAACCTCCGACTGAAGGTCTTTACGCACCTGGCTCACTGCGCCTCCTTGCTGGAGAAGCAGATGCCAGGACGGAGAGAGCATAGGAGCCTGACTGATTAGCGACACCACGCATTCCTCGGGCTGCCTGGCGACAGTTCTTTTTCTAACATACCCCAAAGCCGAGACCTTGTTGCCCTAAGAAACCCTGGCCCCATAATCCCAAAATTCTGGGATTGAAGGAGCCCCAAAAAAAGACCCAAGGTTTTTTAATCAGGTTCAGGGTTTAGGGTTTAGGGTTTAGGGTTTATTATCCGGGGCCATATGTCCTTGTTTGAGGCCTCAGGAGGCTACGGGGTACAAAGGGCAACTAGCACGCCCTTAATCCTGAGCTTCTGAGCCCAAGGGGTAGACCCTAAACTCTGAAAGCCCCTAAACCCCTGAACCTTGAATCCTAAACCTAAGAGACAACACATGGGTAGTCTTCTAAATTAGGGTCCCTTTTTGGTCCCCAATTTAGTACGGCACCCTTATAATAAGGACCCTCAAAAGGGACCCTAGTTTAGAAAACTACCCACAACCCTAAACCCTAAACCCTAAACCCTAAAATCCTAAACCTAAGAGACAGCACATGCACACAGGAATGGCTGACTGCATCCTGACGGGCAAGATCGACCCACGGGCATAGGGTTTGGTGCCTTGGTCACTGAACGAGTGCACTTTACCTAAACCCTATATGGGCTTAGGGTTTAGGGTTTAGGGCTTAGGGCCTAAACCTTTTCACTTTTGAGGCAGAGCAGTAGCCGCTATCGATTCCGAAAGTTCGCACTTTGTTTTCGCTATTGAACTCTGCAACTGAGTTGCCCTTACTACGCACCCTACTGGCAGCAGTACCCATACGAAAACAAATTAGGGCTTATACCTTAAGAACCCAAAACCTACTTTTTTTTATTATGAGAACCTCCAAAAAAAGCGGGTTTTGGGTTCTTAAGGTAGGGTCTAGGGTTGCAACTTCCCATACAAGTTGGCTACTGAAGATTATGCGGGGTCATGTCTATCGACGGCATGGTCTACAAGCTCTTCACCTGGAGAGCCGATTTCTGCATCCACAACCCTATATAAATCCTAAACACTCCTAATTCGAACCCTCGCCTTACTTGAACCTTGAGCCTTTCATCCTATCAATACAAGAGCCTTGATGACGTCTTCAGTTGCAGCCCGGAATAAGAAAGCTGCAATGTTATGCACGACTAGACGCGCCAGTGGCAACGGCAGTGCAACTTGCAGTAGGGCGTTGGGTTTGGAAGAGAGTGCTTGCCATCGTGGCAAGATGTGAAAGTCTTTCAGGGCAGCTACCCAAACGTCGTGCTACAAAGCCGATCTGCACGAAGCCCCTAAACCCTAAACAGTGACCTTTGGGCTTTGAGGTTTAGGTCCAATCAAGGTTTCAGAGATCGGGGTCCAGTACCTGCTGCACCCCAAGCCGGGCCTTAAACTCGAATAACCCCAAGAACGCCGACGCCCACCACGAGACCCCCAACCCGTGCCGAAAGCCAAACCCTGGTCGTGATCGCATCACCGTGCAGCATCCCCCCAAAGAGGGAGGCAGGTGGAGTGCTGACGGCCATGTCCCTGGTTCACAGTCTACCTTAAGAACCCAAAACCCACTTTTTTGTAGGTTCTTATTACAAACCCTAATATGGAATTTATAGGGACCCTACAAAAAAGTAGGTTTTGGGTTCTTAAGGTACTGTGTGGAATTTAGCTGAAGCTACCCTCATTATTTTATTTATAACTAATCAAAATAATCAAGCAAATATCAAGATCTCGAGCAATAAAGAAGAAAGAATAGAAATCTAATATATAAGATCAAATCAGATTATAAAATAGAATTCTCTATAATATATGATACTCTAATAAATAATATCTATATAATTTACAGAAAGATAATATATAAACTATATATAGCAAATTATTTTCATTTCTATATTAAATATCGAAGAAAAATATATATTATTCAATATACATCGAATCATAATCTTATAAACACCTAAACCCTAAACATTAAACCCCTGAACCCTTAAACCCTAAGCCCTAAACACCTAAACCCTGAACCTTAAATCCCTAAACCCTAAACCACTAAACACCTAAACCCTGTAACCGTGAACCCCTCAACATCCAGTCCCTGAGATCCTGACCGGCAAGGGCTTTGGGGCTAGATGGTTTACTCATACAAGTACAAAAAAAGGAGGTTGTTTGCGGTTAGGGGAGGGTTTCGGTTTTAGGTTTTAGGGTTTATCCCCCAAAGTTCCACCACAAATCTGAACTGATGTAGGGGCCTCAATCATTTGAATAGGGTTTGGGGGGCCTCCTTATTGTAGTTTAATATACCCCCCAGAATCTATTCTAATTACTAAGGCCCCTAAACCCTACCTAAATCCTTATAGCAGCCCTTATAGTATCCCTGAAAGGAACCCTCAGAAAGGAACCCCAAACCCTATTCTAATCATTAAGGCCTCTATATTCGATGGTCTGGACGAATGCTGTAGGGGAAGCTTCCGATCGGGGAGGGCAAGCTCTTTTCTTTGCGGCTACCGGTTTCGTTGATCCGTGCAATATAAGGCCCCTAGATTAGTTTGAGTTTGCACATTTGTCCTACACCTATACTGAAAGGAGTCTGCCGAGGCATGGTTGGTGTGGAGAACTAGGGCCAACTAGGGCGGTCTGCAGCGCAACCTTGCTGTCGAGGGTGGCCGACAGCAGGAGAAACAAGTCCGACCTAAACCCTAAGCCCTAAACCCTAGCAAGTCCGACATCACAAGTCTTCCCCCATAAGCCAGCACTAGTCGCAAGCCATATCTCGACCGAGAGACCCAGGGTATCCTTACTTGGAGGTTCGTGGAAGCCCCCCTATATGGGTTATAACTATAGTTAACTTACTTACAACCCCACTTATAACTACCCATGAACCTCCAAGTACATGTATATATCGGGGGTCGACTGCGGAGCTGGAAGAGGTCCGTCGCAGGTCGTCCGACCTATGGACCCGAGTAATCAAATCAGAAATCACTACACAGACTAAAACCACTCGCAGAACCTGTACGATCACTACCGGCGTAAGGATCCATCCAAGCCTCCTTACGCTAGCAGCAACAGCACACATTCTTCAAAACTGTCAGCGAAAAAGGGGTTAGAGAGCTGAGCAGAACAACACATAACACTGCTCAATCAACATACTAGTGCTCAAGCTGAAAAGCACATAACAGAGAACAAGAAACAAGACTAATACCACGCTTAACTGGGGAATTACCCCACAGCAACTCATCAAGAAAGACTGCGCGAAAACTGGAATTGCACAAACAAGACACACAAACCACATCAAAGGGAAAGGAAGGACAGACCTAAACCACAAACAAACAACAATTCAAGAGTTCGCAAGAACAGACCTGTCCAACAAACATCATACCACAGACTATCAACGTACATGTGCTCACATAGATCCACCCGATCACTCCACCCAGCCCCGACGGTACAGGGCTTCTTCAGCCGGACGGAACCGGTCTGAGACACCAGTCAGAGGACGGTACCTCTGACCACACTCCATCAGCAATAACACATAAGATCTAAATAAAGTCCAAGCAGCCTAGCGCTTCTTGTCCCGTCCCTCCGAAACCGACAGTCTGGTCCCAGCACCGCGTTTCTGTCCGGCTCCACGCTCGCCACCCCCACCCTTCCCAGAGCTCCCTTTCCCACCAGCAAACCAGCTCCGAACTTCCTCCGAGGTATGACCCAAGTCCTCCAACACCCTACGCTGGATGGGCCCAGGCACAAACCTCCCTTGACGCAACCCCAACTGAGGATACACCCCATCACGCTTAGCCACAACCTTCTTGATCGGGGGACTGTTGAGAAGGGTCCATGCCGACATGCCACTCCACGTAGCCTTAAACAACAGAACCACGACCCAGGCTTTGCTGACATCTTCAGGAGGCTCCTTAAACTGCAAGGCTTCAATCGTCTCCTCCGGACGAAGCTCCTTGAGTCCTCGCGCGACCTCAGCATCCATACCCTGTTCCTCCAGCTGGCCCACCACGAGCGAGAAGAACTGAAACTTGAACGGGAGCGGTCTAGGAGCAGCAGCAGCGGAAGCAGACGCAGAGCCTTCAGCCTTGACCTCCTTTGCCCCAGCCTGCCACCTCTGCAAGGCCTCCTCCACAGCGGCGCGGAACCCACCCTGGCAGAAGCAGACCTGTTGCCGCAGCGCACGGTCCTTCCCAACCCCTTTCGCGGTCGCGTTAGCGAGCTGCTGCACATTTTGCAGCGCCGCTTCCACCCCTCCAAGCCGGTCAGCCACGGACTTGTTCGCCATTGCATTCCCAGCACTCGAGAGAAGAAGCAGCTGCGCATGTAAGGAGTCGCAAAGACAAGCTTGGACCTAACATAGAACAGGAGTGTTACAAGTGTTCGCGCTTCAGGTGATACTTAAAGTGGTGCACACTGCGATATACCTGACTTTGCAAGCCCTGATTGACGCAGAGTTGACACACTGCAGGAAAGTCTTTTGCTTCGAAGCGATGATCTGCCGCAATGTGGAGACGAAGACTCGATTCACCTGGCCAAAAACCGTTACAAAAGGGGCATACAAATGGCCTGGCCAACACATGGTCATAGTTTTTATGACGCGTAAGCCACATCTCTCGTTCGAAGGACCTAGGGCATAGCGAACAATCGAAACCCGCCTGTCGGTACGTACCTACCTTATGAGAAATGAGTTTGTGATGCGAAAGGCCACCCTTCGTCGTGTAACGCTTACCACACCCAGGAAAGTCACAGACAAAATCGCCTTGGTCCACATTTGTAGTACGATCCTTATTGCGCAAGTTCCAGTACTTCGTGCGAACACGCGGCGCCACTGCCCCATCAATAATCGCCTGTGCATCCCTCCGTTTTTTAACATACCACGCTGGAGGTTTTTGCTTTCTAGAGACTTTCCGAGGAGTAATACCAGTACGCCCGGTACCCGTACCAATGGCTGCTTCCGATTGCATCTGTAGCACCACAGAGGAAACCAAAAGCCTGAACATCGCCAAATCTCCTTCCGTATCAAACTCATTCGCCCGCTCATCAGCTAGATCGCAACATAACTCCTCAAAGTCAATCCCAGGACTGCTATCACAGCGCTCAGTAATTTCAGTTTTAAGACAAGCAACAAATTCTGACCTGCCCCCCGCTGCCAGTTCCAACCTAACAAACGCACACTTCGCCGCGAGTTCCGTTTGCATCTTCTCTAAAGCATTAGCCAACCTTTCCGCGTGACCCAACCTGCGTTTGACCCTGCCAGCCTTGCTTCTAGGAGGCAAATTACGAGGGGGTGGCTCATGGCCTGGAATAACCGCCAAAGGT